ATCATATAATTTCAAAGTTACTTACTGATTGAATGGTCAGGTTGTCACCTCTCCCGAGAAATTTTCCAAAACAAAAGGAAATTTTGCAGGGTACCCTTTCACTTAGTCTAGAATAATTTTAATATGTAATAAAAGAAAAGCCATTCCAACTTCGGGTTGGGTAAAGGGGAGGGTGGAAGGGGTTATGAGGGTAGGAAAGACGGTGGAATGAGATGAACATCATTACCTTAGGTACATGTATGATTGCACAAATGGTGCGTCTCTGCACCGTGTACAATCAGAGAATTGAAATGTTGTGCTCCATTTGTGTACAATGAATTGAAATGCATTTTGCTGTCATGCACAACTAAGTAGAAAAAAAAAAGCCATTCTATTCCCATCACACGAGTAGGAAAGCCGCCCTGTGGGAAGGAGCCCTTTCAGACCTTGTGCTTTGATGACCATGATCCTTTGCTGCAGGTCGATGAAGGGCTGGATCAGGCAGAGGCGAGGCTCCTGCTTCTGACTCAGGCAAATGCCGTTGTGATTCACCACCATCCAGCTCCGGTCATACAGCAGCCCGTGATTGCCTACAGGCCACTTGGTCACCTAAACAAAAGGTAGGAGTATTTTAGACCAAGGCAAAACTGATCTTCACGTCATTGAACAGGGGCTGCACAAATCCAGATGGACTTCACGAATTCAGCACATATTCTCAAAGGAAGAAAGAGAAGAGGAGGAGGAGAAAGCGAAGGAAGAGAACAAGGCAAATGGAGGCAGCAAGGAGCCAGATTCCCTTCAGAATACAAATTATACCTACTGCCCAGATCTTGGTGTCTAATACTATTCTCCAACAGAGAGAACTGGGTGAAGAAATGGTCATTCTAGGAGTAGGTCAGGTCAGTTTGGAGGAATGAGATGTTAAGACTCATTCTGTAATTCTAGTCTTATAGACCTATTGGTTCATGAAAAAATAAATTCCTACTGAGTCTCCATATCCTGGGACACCAATGCCTGCCTGGTGGCCATCTTTTTGCTTATCCTAGAGAACAAAACTCATCTATGAAAACAGATCCCTCATTGGTAAGGGGAACACAGAGTCCTCACCTGCGTTCATTCAGGAAGAAGTGAATTTGCTGGTTTATGATCTCAGCCTGGAGGCCAGGCCCTTAATGGGACCACTCTGAAACACAGGCCAACAAACAGCCCCGACCTTGGTATGTCAAATGAGGAGCCAGAGAGCCTGTCATCCCAGAGGCTTAGGAATATTCGCCTGGAACTTGGGACACACATGGAGATTATAGAAAGAGAGCCTCAGGTTGGCCATACCAGGAGAAATGGCTTCTTGGAAACCAGGGCTAGTTGCCAGACAAGGGAAGACTCCTGTCCCCCAGGTGCAAAGAGGGCCCAGCCAATATGTTTGCAGATATAATGTATGTTGTCCTTCAATATCTGTGGGGGATTGGTTCCATGACTCCCCCACATAGACACAAAATCTGTGGACGCTCAAATCCCTGGTATTAGTGGGAGAGTATTTGCAGATAACCTGCACACATTCTCCCATGCACTTTCCCACTCTAGGTTATTGATACTACCTAGCACAATATAGTTGTTATGTGGTATTGTTTAGGGAAGGATGACAAGGAAAGAGAAAGTCTGTATATGCTAAAGACAGATGCATTTAAAATAATTTGTTTTGATTTGCAGTTGATTGAATCAACAGATGCAGAACCATAGATAGATACAGAAGGCTGGTACAGTTTTCCTGTAGGAAGCTATGAGCAGAACAAATCTCAGAGCATAGACCCAAAGGTCAGCAGACCCATGTTCAAATCCTTGCTCTGTCATTTGTTTACAGGTGACCTGAACAGAGTGCTGAACCTTAATCCATTCATGAACGACATCTATGGAACAGGGATAATGTCACCCTTCACCTCGTGTGGCTGCTTTAAGGATCAAATAAAACGAAGCATGTTAAGTGCTTCAGCAAGGAGCTAGCACGTACATTCAAGGAAAGTGACAGCTATAATGACTAACAGGTGTGTGCCACTCAGAAACAGGGTCATCCCAGGGTCCCCATGAGCAGAATCATGTTCAGAAGTCAGCCTGTATGTAGAGAGGCAGAATGAGAATGAGAACAGCTTTTCATACGACAACTCTGACATAGTACTTTGATTTCTGCATGCTTTTCTTCACCTGCTAAATCCTTCAATCAATCCACCCCAAAAAAAAAAAAATCCCATAGAGGAAGCAAAGAGAAGCAGTTTCTGTGCTGCAGTGAAAGCTCTTACCTCAAAGGCAGCACAGGATTTGATGGGGTAGAGGTAAAGGTTGGTGACAACACGTGGCCCATGGTCCCCATGCAGGGCACCTGCAGCTTTTTCCAAAGACAGCTGCTGGCTTCTGGTGGCCTCACTTTGTGGTGGATGCAAACAGATGGCATTGGAACCTGGATGAGCATCAAGGCAAACCCCAGAGCCTGTGCCGACGTCATTCTGAGACAGGACATGTCTGTCTGTGACAGCAGGCATGTCCTGGGCCTTGCCCTCTGCTGATGGGACTCCAGCTACCCTGGGACCAGCCAAAAGCTGATCACTTGGTGAGCGCAGGCGGGTAGCTATGATGAACCTGAGAAAGGCCTGGGCGTCCTCAAGTGTAGACATGTATCCAAATGAAACCCTCACGGATCCTGTAGGCTGCCCATCTATGAGGTCGACGTCATCTCCACAGACATGACCAGCCTGGAGTTCAAGGGAGGTAAATCAGCCAGAGGGACTCACGCCTTCTGGATCAATTGGAAACAGTTTTGTAAAACAAATTTTGTCAATTTTAAAATTAACCCAGGAAAACAGACCTACTACACCAACATGCGCTGCATGTATGAGACACGGGGTTCAGCTCTGAATGCTCAGGGGCCAGCTTCCTGGACCCCATTTTGTTTAGCTGTGAACCAATACCCATCTCCAAAGGCCGTGAAAGAGCTTAGCAGAAATACCTCTTGTAGTGTGTTGAACCCAGAGCTGGCACAGTGCTGGCCACAGAGGGGTCAAAGAACAGACCAGAGTTTCACAAGCCCTGAGGGTTGGCTTCCCGTAAAACCAAGGCTGAAGCAAAAGAAATACCTGCTGGCCCACCCCTCAGTCCCTAGGAGAACCAAAGAAAAGCCTAAATCCCTGAGAGATGCCCCTTGACATGAACGAAAGACAGAGATGCTGTCCCTAAATGACCAACTGGAAGCCACTGTGTAGGCCCAAGTCAACCTGAATGTCCCCTCTGGGAGGGAGGAAAGAAGCAGAAAGATGTCCGTCTCTAAGCCCGGCTGCCTGGTACTGGCCGCTGGTCAATGTAGCATATAAGGCTCTGCACCTCCCCAGCGCTAATTCCAGTCCAGTCAGCCAAAGAGATGGGACTATGCCGTTCCACACAATCAAATGTTGCATCTAGAACTGCATTTATTCTAAGCCTCTCTCTCCCTCTCTCCCCACCCCACCCTCTTTCTCTCCATCTCTTTCCCTATCACTCCTTTTAAATAAAATCCAATTTGTGGTTAGTTGGAATCTAGTACAAACAAATTCAGGCAGCAATCAAAAGAAATTCAAAATTAGAAACCTCCAAAATAAATAAGGGCTCTTTGCCACTCAAACAATTCTATTATGAAATGGTTCAAAACAGACTGCACCCTGAAGTGCAAAACCTTGGCCCAGGAGAGAAGGGAAGGTAGGGATTCTGAGAAACAAAGAATCCCTAGAGCCAGGGAAGAGTTCGCGATTTGCAGAGAGGCTCACTCCAGCTAGGGGACTGTCCCCAAGGAACGCTGAACTAGTTAAGGGTGTGTCCTTGCACATGCCTCCTTAACAGCTCTCTCTGCCTTTAAATTTCTGCCCTCCAAGTAAAAAGTGAATCAGAAACTACTGCCATCAAGATAACATCTTTCATTTTCTACTCATTCACCTCCTTTTCCTTTGTATAGTCTCAGAATAGGTCCCCAAGAAATCAAGCCAAAGAACTAGCCCCACCAGACACATGACCAGCACTGACCTGAAGATGCTTCTTGAACTTCTCATTGCTTATCCCCAGGTGCCTCTGGCAGGCCCCGGTATTGCAGAAGCAGCCGGTTCGCAGGTGGATGTTGTACAGGCTGGCCATTTTGTCAACCTGTGGATTAAACGTGACACACAGCAGGTGTTACAGATGTCCAGTGGTGCCCTAATTGCCTGGGAGAGTTTCAGGTCAGTGTTTGGGCCTTTCCCAGTAATAAACCAATGATCTTATTACTAAGGAAAAATCCTAAATAAACCCTCTAGCTTTGTTAGTTGACTTGAAAATCACTGATTTTTGAGGTCACATGACTGGGCAAGGGCAATACTTATGAGTCTCCCACTAGCTTTGCTGTGGATCCTCCTCTCACATATGGGTTCTGATGACCAACAGTTGCCTGCATCACTCTTCAGGGGCCTGATGGCTGCTTTTGTTGAAAACACTGACTCTTACTTGGGCCTACACGTGTCTGAGAAGTGACTGGAATGAAATGAAAAGGCTCAACCTCTCTGTCTTCAGATTGTATCTGTCTCCTTTGCGCCTTCATTTTTAGGTCAGATTCTATGTAGCTCTGCACATAGAACATTGTTGAACATTTCAGAAATATCTTGCCCCAAAATACAACAGAGGATTATAACTTGACCCAGACCTGCCTGGTCTCTCCCCTCTTATAGCTAAAGACACCTATTAGCTGCCATGACCTGAAACACCAGACTATGAAGGTAGTGAAGAGGCAGCCCTCCGGTTCCTGGAAGCTCTCCACCTATCCCCAGAAAAGACATGACTATTCCTCCCTCAGTTAGCCTCCCTCTTCCTCATGGCTCCTATTCTATACTCAGAACCCCCAATCCCTTGGTGCTGAGACGCTGATTTATGAGTAAAAACTCCCTCTTCTCCATTTTCGGCTACTGAATAAAACCTTTCTTTCTCCCCAACACTTCTCTCTCAGACATTGATTTTTCAGTGGGATGAGCCCCTGGACCTGGATTCAGTAATAGTCTGAGACTGGAAGTTTGCTCTAAAATGGCATGATCTATAACAGGTTTATCAAAGACTTGATAAATGTTTGGAAATAAAGGTTCAGCCAGTCAAATTACAGAAATATGCTTGAGGAAAGTGAAAATATCAAATTCAGGTGAAATTCCATGACCCCAGATGTTTCCAGCAAAGTTCACACTTTGGCGCCACTGGGCAGCTCCTTGGCATCAGCTGCCCCAGGGTTTGGTGACAGAGCCAGCCCCAGCAAGATGCCATCCCCAGTAGCACCACCTCGGCTCTCAATCAATCTGGAAATCATTGTGTCATATCCATATCCTTTTCATGTTTCTCAAACTTTGGGTTCAACCGGAATAGTCTCTCAGTCTGAGCTGGGAACCCAGAAGTTCCCAAGTCTCTTCTGATCTCTGAAGACTCTGGAAGGTGGTTCACATTCACTTGAGCCCACAGGAATGTTTGTGCCGATTCTCTGGCTGTGAGTCAAGGACTCCACTCCCTTGGGGCACCCTGTGTGGGTCCTCAGCCCAGGTAGGTCAGGCTGAATTCAGGGAGAGAGTCGCCTAACCACATTCAAGGAAACAAACACATCTTACCCACATGGGTAAGCCTTTGAACGTCACATACCAAGTGTCCAGAGGCAGCCACAAGGAACATAGTGTCCCCTGCAGACCACCAGTCACCACAGTCAGACTGGCTCTTGGCTGAGCAACCGTGCCTCCCATAGTCCCTTGTCAAGCTCATGACGTGTTGGCTCTGCCATCTCCCCTGATCTGTCAGAGTGAGAAGAAGCCATCTCATTTTCTGGATTGAACCTGAAGGTCCTTGGAGAACAACTCTGTCCCTTCGCCCTTGACTACTAGTGACGTCCTAGAGGTCTCCTCACTGTGAGGCAAGACTTGGCAGAACTTCTGGGTCCAGCCAGCTCCTTCTTCAATGTCCAGTCTCCATTCACAGAACAGCATCTAGGGAAGCCCCGCCCCTCTCCCAGACCAGCTGTATCAGAAAGGACAGTAGAAGCCCCCAGTGGCCATCCCTCCTCTCCCATAGTCACTGTTCTGGTTAGCATTGCTGTAAAACAAGCCACTCAAACTTTGTAGAATGAGACAAAAAACCACTGTATTGTGCTCACAGCGACAGTGGGTCAGGAGTTCAGATTGCTCACAGAGGAGGCTTCTCTCTGTTCCATGGTATCTCAAGTCCTAACTGGGACGACTCAAAGTCTAAGTGTCTTGACATGATCTGAAGACCCATTTATTTACTCATTTGGGTGTCTCATTACAATGCTGGGAGGGATCAAAATTTAGGGCGGACAACCATAGTGGCTGGGCGTGGCCTCTCCATTTGGTTTACCTCCCTCCAGTATGGCAACCTCAGGGGACAAGATGGCAGCTTACATGGTAACTCAGAGCTCCATAACTGAGTGTTCCAGGCCACAAAACATGCCATCACCTTTTCTGACCTAGCCTTAAAAGCCACACAGGGTCCCCTGAGTCATATTCTATTAGTTACAAGTGATTCACAAACTGGCTCAGATACAAGAGAAGAAATATTGGCCCCAGCCTTCCATGGAAGGAGTGTCAAGGTCACCTGGCAGAAGGATGTCGGGGGGAAGACATTACCGCAACCATGCTTGAGAAATGTGAACCATGTCCCAATTTCCCACTTACGAGTCAGTCTCCTCCTGCCTTCATCCCTAGGGAATTTCACCCAGGCCCGGCCAGGTGTAGGAGGCTGACCACAGAGACAGGATGAGCATAGGAAGGGGTGGGAATAAGCCCAAGTGCAATGCATAGAAGCATCCCAGCCAGGAGGCTTGGTGTTCAATGTTCACTGAGCCCTTACTTTATCCCAGATCCTGTAGTAAGTGATGTGTATATTACATCTCATTTCACCCTCATAACCACAATATGAGCAAGGCATATTGTCATCCTCGTTTCTTAGAGTCTTAGAAAGCTTAAGACAATTTACCCAAGATCACAGAGCTAGCAAGAAGTGGTCAGAATCTGATCCCATGTCTTAGTCACCATACACAGTAAGGACCCCCAACAGTGGGGAGAATAAAATTAGGAGACCTGGAAATTGAAAACAAGAACTCAAAGACTTCACATAGAAGGTTAAATTCTTTTACTTAGCCCCAGAAAAAGAGATGACCAAACCCAACCATGATGCCATCTGATCTTTCTGAAGGCTATCAAAATCCCTGTGGAGTTCCCATACTGTGAAGCTTTCTTAGCCCAGGGTAACCATAACTGGAGTTTCCTGAACCACTGCAGCTGGCTACACCCCAGTGGTGAAGTTCACAGGGTGCTTTCCCCTATCAATGCTCAAAGGAAAAGACTGGCCCTGCGCCCAACCTCAGGGAAGGAGCACCGTAGTCCTCACTCAGTCTGGTGACTTCTCCTCTTTGAGTCTTCTCCTACAGTGACACCTGCCTTGGGACACTTCATAGTCACCCATTGCCCTCTCTCACTCCCTCAGGAAACAAATTTACTTTAGATTCAAGAGTAAAATTTATTTTACCAATTACCTAGAATAACATATTTAAAATATGCATTTTCTTGATGCATATTCTACCCCAACATACACAGGCAAAGCATTTAAAATTGCATGCTTCACGGCGGTGCTGGGCTGGCTTTGTGGCAGGTGAGAGAGCTGAGGGCCATAGGAGTGGGGAGTTTGCACTGTCAACTTACTCAAGAGACACCTGGGGTTGTAGAGTGTCTTCTCTAAATGCCAATGGGGAGCAGCATTCCCCAGAAGAACTGTTCCCTATAATGTTCTTTATAAAGTTTGTGGCTCTTTAGAAGAGCATGGGCAGAGGTTCCTTTGGAAATAGACTGTTATGTTTTTGTTTCTGAAACACGGCCTTCTTATGTTGGATAGACAGATCCCAAACTCCTGAGCTCAAGGGATTCTCCTGCCTCAGCCTCTTGAGTAGCTGGGAATACAGGCATGCACCACACTGGTTGGCTGCGAAATGGACTTTGTTTGGGATATTTGAAATTTATCAAAAGTGCCTAGGGATTGTGGCTTTCAGGGGAAGATAAATACCTCCTTCTAAACTTATGATCAAATGGACCCCAACTCAAGTACTTCCCAACCTGCTAAGCACAGTTTCCATTTTTTTAATGAAAACATACATGCAGAGTATATATATGCAGAAAATCTTTAGCCAAATCACCAAACCTTTGAACTCATCATATGAAAAAAATAGGCAGAAATAAGGGCTTTTGTGAGTTTAAAAAAAAAAGTGAATCATTTTTATGTCTCATAAAAAAACAACTCTGAATTTCAAATAACACACCAATAAATGCTGTTGGGTCTCATGTATCATGGAGTACCAATCAGTCTGTGCATGAAATAACCTCAGCTTGGGTATTTTGTCCCTAGTACTTTTCTGTCTAGATTAGGGTGGCTTCCCTTGCTGCCAAGCTGTCACCTGTACCCTGCCGTTGCCATTGCTATCAGAAGAATCAGCCTCTCTCTTTCCAATTTGAAACTTTCAACCATGCCTGAGTAAAGAGGGCTGAAAAAATACATAGCCAAGCTTGTTCTGAGTGTAAGTGAGCATTAAGAAGCCTCTGAATGAGAGCCAGGTGGCCCTTGCAACAGCACCTGAATTTTGTCACCATGTTTCCGGGACACAGAGGATTTGACTACAAATTCCAGGGCTCAGAAAGGCTCCCAAGTTCCAGGAAGAGCAATTCTGTTGGAAGAGGGTCAGCAGGATGAAAAGAAAACTCACCTGGGAGTAACCAATGACGTTCCCATTGTCATCCAGTACATTAAAATTGATGACGGGACCCTGAACGTCAGGGCTGCTGAAATCCGAGTCTCTGTAAATCCGCACCACAGGGGCTCCATTGGGGTAGTGGAGAGAGGACAGGGCCGTATAGGTGTACTGAGCCAACGTGAAGGTGTGCTGCCTGATGTTCTCCATGCCACCTCAAAACAAAGGTGAAATGCCGAGTGTCAGGAATTCTACGTGAAAGGCCCTCTCATTTTTAAGAAAACAAGATCCTTACAACTGATCAACCTGGTCCTCATAGTACTAATTTTAAGTACTTGTAAGTATGGTAGGGTATTGCCTTTATAACAAAGGTTTAGGTCTTTGGGACTAAAAGTTAGTTTGACATTGCTGTTTCTGTAGAATTTTTCCATAGGAATTCTGCTGTACCTCTTATTTAAATATATATGTACTTTAAATATGTATGTACATATACTTATACACACATGTATACATATATATGCATACTTAATGGAACTTCAACATGCAGATAATTTATATTCTTTGGTAACAGATTGGGAAAAATGTATGTTTTCTTTAAATATCATTTTTTGTTGTTTGTGCCTGCTAATGTTTAAATCATTTTAATTATGCAAAGCAATGAAGAGTACATGCTTCAACACAAACAGACCTTGAAAACATGCTAAGTGGAATAAGCTAGACACAAAACAAGACAGAAAGGCCATCAGGGGTCACCAGGGGCTGGGAAGAGAAAGGGATGAGCAGCTATTGATTCAGGGGTAGTTTCAGTCTGGGGTAGTGAAAAGATTCTGGATGTGGGTAGTGGCAATTAATGTACAGCAATGTGAAGGTCCTTAAAACTGCTGAGTTACATGCTTAAAATGGTCTAAATGGAAATTTTTATTTTATGTATATTTCACCACCATTGTTTGAAAAAGCAATTGAGTAGGAAAATAAAAAAGCAAAGTTTGCCATATTAGGGACTGATATTATCAAACTTTTGACTTTAAAGGCACCCCTGCCACCTGTGATTTCAGTGTCCTGTTGATACCTTTCCTTGGAAAGTGGTTTTTCTAAAGCCCGTCTTTACCAGCTCCTCTCTTGGTCCTGGATGAGGCCCACTTACTCCTTACACCTCCATCAGGGCAGCCCTCCCTTCCATGAATCCCACCTGCCCCAGGGTTGGGCTGAGGCTGAGGACCTGGAGAGTCCTAGTAGTGTGACAGGACAGAGGGAGGAAGGGCTGCCTAACTGCTCAGTCACTGTCCCACTCTGAATGGATGGTACAGGCAGTACGTCCAATTCTGGATGCTCAGCCTCTCAAGGAGTGGCCAGGAGCACAGCACCATGAGTGAGCCACGCTGACTAGATAAGGCTTCTTCCGGGCGTGGACCTTTGTGTCATCCCTGTGAGATGGGAAAAGACATCTGTCTGTGTATCAGCCTCTGGTGAGCAGCCCCACCTGTCCACACCCCTGAGTACTTGTCAGGAAACAAGATGTACATTGTACAAAAGCTAGTGACACAGACAGTGATTGGGATTTGGAGTTATGTAAGACCTGCGTTTAAATCCTATCCTCCCAGTTCCCAGCTCCCCAGCCTGGGAAGACCGTTAACCTTTCTGACCCTCCACTCTTCTGTGGACGAGACAGCCTTGTCATCAGCTCCTGGCGGGGGGGGGGGTGGCTATGGAGAGGATCCAGCAAGACAACAGCTGAATGAAACCTCAGGATCTATAACCATTTCCAGTTCAGACAATGAGGACAGTACCTCCATTTCTGTGCAGCTATTAATCTTCTGATTAGAAATGTCTCCCACCTGCTAAAATGTTCTTTTAGCTGGCAAAGCAAAACAGCCCCCCAAAACCCTTCTCATTCCCTTTCTTTCAGAAGTTGCTTTGAAGTTATTTAGAGTCAGATTTAACTGCATTCAGTGTCCAGCTACTATGTATTACTTACTTCCACTGATATTGTCTCCTTTGTTGGAACCACACCCATGCCAGGGCTCCCTCAAGACCACAGGCAATTCCATACAGATAAAATGTTCACTGACCTGTGAGGCGCTCCAGGGCATCAAATCCATGTTTTAGTGCTATGATGTCGAGGAATGAGATGGTGCCATCTTCAAACCTACAACAATGGGGTGAGGGGGAGAAGATCAAGCTGTGGCCAACACACTCCATGTGTATTGTGAATGTAGCCAGGGTTTGACTTTGGCCAGAGTGATATCTATTAATAGCTTCCCTCTGCTGCCTTTGACACTACTTTTCCCATCTGAAGAGGGGCTTTGCTCACCAAGAGCCAAGCTGTCTCTAGCCCTGATTGGCTCTTCAGCTTTCTCCAACTACTTCAAACTTCCTAGGGCAGCCTGGCAGTGGTGGTAAAAGTCCCTAAAAGATATTCACCATCTTGAGATTCTAAGGAGACAAAAGATGCTTTGCTGCCCCCAAGAAGAATTTGGACTTGACTTTGAATTTGAAATACTGCCCTTGAAATATCTTGAAATAATGCCATCTGACCACAAGAGGGCACCACTGACAAGATGCCAATTCAGAATGATCAGCGAAGCAGCTGAGAGATTCTTTAGGAGCCTATGGTACCAAAGCATGTGAACCACAGGTTTGGGTTAAAAATCGCAAAGCTTTTATTTATACAGTATATTCATAATTCACCTGGTAACCAAATTATTTGTTATGTTTGAATTTCATAATTATTAATTTCATCAGAATTTTCATTGAATCTTTATAGTCTCCTACTGTGTATCAGGCCCTGTTCTAGCTGCTAAGGATACAGCAGTGAACAATGTAGGTAAGATCCCTGCCATTCCAGCCTCACATTCTATGAAACAAGGAATAAAACCCAGCAAATACACACAGAATATGGCAGGGGGTGGTAAGTGCCATGAAGATGCATAAGCAGAAGGGCTGGTGGCTACTTTCATCCAGGTCTCCAGGTAAGTCCTATCTGAGGAAGCTCATTTAATCAGAGACCAAGTGAAGTCAGGAGCAAGGGAAAGAACTCAATTTTGGTTTTTGTTTGTTTGTCTTTATTGTGTTTTATATGGGGGACTGAACCCGGGATGCTCAACTACTGAACTACATTCCCAGCCCTTTTTTATATTTTATTTAGAGACAAGGTCTCACTAGGTTGCTTAGGATCTTACTCAGTTGCTGAGGCTGGCTTTCAATTTGAGACCCTCCTGCCTCATCCTCCCAAGCCACTGACTTACAGGCATGAGCCACCATGCCCAGCAGACAGAAGGTTTTGTTAGCATCTAGTGGCAACCTCAACTAGCAGGGTGGTTAGTTCCCTATCCCAACTCCATGGTGTCCCCTGCTGCTAGATCAGCAGAACCTTGGGTCAGGGGACATTTTCACCTCTTATACATTTGGCCATCACCATCTGGGGGAATCCTGGCCATGACCCATACCTCCTGCCTTGATGCCTGAAGAAGAAGCACAAGCCAACAAAGCTAGGCAAGGCCTTGTCCTCTGAGGGTCAGTGACAGCCAGCCCTCAAACTCCCTCGGTGACTCACTCTTTGTGGGGCTCATGGAGGCCCCAACCACTGCAGTGCAGGCCTGGGGACCTCTGGCTCAGTTCATTTTTCCTGCTAACCAGATCTGACCCAAGCTGCTGTTGACTGGGTGCACTCTTGTTCCTGAGGGTGTTTTCTGTCAAAATCATTGTTGCAATTTGCTGCCACCCTTTGTGGGTGCTACGGAATCACAATCTGGCCCATGACCTCTTCACTTCCCTATGGGCCTGTTCACCTCTATGAAAGGTTAGTACTATGGTTAGTACTATGAAGAAGCCCACACACAGGGGCAGAGGTCACCATGAAGCCTGTGGCACACTCCAGTGACCTCTGCCTCCCAGATCTGAGCCTTGCCACCAGCCGATCCCTGCCAGCAATGTCTAACTTCCCTGACCCCATGGCTTGAATAATCCCAAGGCTGCATGTGCCAGACCTGCCTTGGAGACTCCACCAGCCTCCCCCATGGCAAAGTTACCTTTCAGTCACCGACTGCCTTGGGATGTAGAAGTCCTCTCCTGCAAGGTAGGCAGCGGCAGTCCCTCCTCCAAAGTAGTTCTTCCTCAGGAGAGGAGCCACACGATTATTGACCAGCAGAGCACCCAGGCCAGTGGGGAATCCAAAGATCTTATAGAAGGAGATGGGGACAAAGTCGGCCTGATGAGCCGACAGGTCCAAAGGCGAGGTGGTCACATAGGAGGCTGCATCCAGCAGCACAAACCACTTCCCAGGCACGCTCACGGGGCTCATCCGCCCAGACTTGACCTCTCCTATCCAGGACAGCGGGTATCTGGTTCCTGAATAGTTACTCTGAGCTGGGTAACAAAAGAGATGCAGAAGCTGGCAGTTTGGATCACAGGCCACAGCACCCTGTTCCTTGGCTGACCACATATCCTCTGGACTGACCGCGGTGGATGTGGCATTCATAGCCATGACCACATTCCTTATTCCTACTACAGAGGTGTGACTGTCGGTGAGGTAACAGAACTGACTTCCGCTGCTGTCTGGGCTCTGAGACACCCATGGAAAGGCCTCGGCCACCAGTTTGAGAGCAGCTGTGCTCCCAGCAGTGAAGATCACGCTGTACTCCTCTGGCGTGGTGTGGAAGTGGGCCAGGATCCTGCGAGAAAGAGCATCATGCAAAGCCTTGGTCTCAGCTCCAGCGCTGAATGATTGAAGGTTGTTTTCTTTCTTTTTTGGCACCGGGGGATTGAACCCAGGGGCACTCAACCACTGAGTCACATTCCCCACCCCTCTGTGTGTGTATGTGTGTATATGTGTTTTATTTAGAGACAAGGCCTCGCTAAGTTGCTGAGGCTGGCTTTGAACTCCTGATCCTCTTGCCTCAGGCTCCCAAGCTGCTAAGGATTACAGGGACGTACCACCAGACCTGACTATGTTGTTTTCTTTCTGCTGAAAGGACATCTCTACTTGAAAAGCTAGAGAAAAATCCCGATAGGCTTAGCCACATTGTGAAATTAGGGTGCGGGGCTGAGAAAACCATGGGAAAGATCAGGCTCAAATCCACAATCACAAATCCCATCTTCAACCTGACTGACAAAAATCAACAATGACCTAAATGTTGGTTGAAAAGCCCTTCTACTTGACACTTCCTCCCTAGTTCTGTTACAAGTTTTAAGTCATCAGCTTATTTCACATAGCTTTTAATACTGACAACCCGATTGCAAAACTGTATCAGCTTCAAATTTGAAATAACAAGAAATTGTGTCAATCCAAGTAACTTGAGGGACCACCTGGAAATTATTTTCCAGAAACCAATTATGTGGAAAAGTACAATGCGCTGTTTAATATGCAAATACTAGTACAATGAGCTGTTTAATATGCAAATACTATTCCTGTGGTGGGGTACCATAGGAATAAAACAGATGCCTAATAAAATATGAAAAGTGAAGCAGTGCTTTTCTTCTTTCTGAGAACAAGACCTCAGAACCCAGTTCACTCCTTGGCACTCTGACACACGCTCAGAGGCACATCAAACAGCTATGTTACCTCAAAGCCACATACCTGTGTTTCGGCTGCCCCACTCTACATTTAATGCATTCTGGCTTTCCTGTCCTCTGACCCCGGAGTATGTTGTCATGAGTGCATTGCTTCTTAGCTAAGTGTGATCTTCCTGAAACCCATTCAGAGCTTTTTTGGGATTAAGGCAGGTGCTAGGAAGGAAGTATGTCCACCAAGGTGGTCAGCTCAGGCTGGTGTCCCTGTTGCTCACCTGTAACGCACGTGCTCCACAGTGTCATGGGTGAGCTTACTGATGGTATTCTGGCTGTGAGGATTACCTGGCAGATTACAAAGACAAAGCCTTAGAGTTACTACCATGATCTCTCCTTTTATGTCCCGTCAAAACCCTGACCCTCTACTTCTTAAAGGTCTAAGCATAAAAGAGCCATATGACCCAGCAATTCCACTCCTAGGAATCTACCCAAAAGAAATAAAAACTTATGTTCACACACAGACTTGCACATGGATGTTCATAGCAGCTCTAGGCATAAGGCCAAGTTCTGGAAATAACATAAATGTTCATTAACTCATGAACAGACAGACAAAATACATGACCTCCCCACAAAGGACAATTCTTTGGCAATAAAAAGGAACAAACTACTATGTCATGAATGAACTTCAAAAGCATGCTAAGTGAAAGGTTCCAGACATGAGAGTCCACTTGTTGTATGATTCCATGGACCATGATTCCACAGATCACATGAAAGATCTAGCAAAGCAACTGTATAGAGATACTAAAAGTATTAGATTATGGGTTTCCTGGGCTAGGAGTGGCAACAAAGATTAACTGTAAATAGGTGTGGAGAATCTCAGGGTGGGGTGGGAAGAAAATGTTCCAGCTGATGCGCAATGGTTGCAATCACTCAATCAAAATGCGAAAATTCGTTGACTTGTATAGATGAAATAGATGAAGTTTGGGTTATGTAAAATATTACTCAATAAAGCCATTTAAACAAATAAAACAAAACCCTCCTCTTACTTGTAAAATAAGTTGGGACCCAGGAAGAGGGTTTGGGAGCTAGCAGTCAGCTCAGAGGTAGCTGGCCAGGTTCCGTGAGAGGTGGCCAGAGGCACAACCTCAGGAGCCTGCCCTCTCCTCCAAGCATGATCACACCATGACACCATTTATTAGTCTCCATTTGGTGCCCTGCCATTCCCACCCCTGCTGCTGGCACTATCCTTGCATAAGTGCACCACCCTGGATACATAAAAGGTCCAGCACATGTCCCCTCATCCTCCCACTCCCAAAACTTAAGGCTCTCCCAAATTCACCCTTCTCTTTGATGGATTCTAGTCTTTTCCCCCCTCTTTGTATCCTCCTTTTGTGTCCCAGAGTATTGGAATCTCCCTCAAAACTTGGTTCGCAGACATGAATCCAGATGTCTGAAAGGCCTGGCAAATAGGGGTTGGGGACCAGCAACTCAGAAGGTGCAGGACAGTGTGTGCACAGCCTTAGTTTGTGTTTCATTTGTTTTTCCCCTAGACCACACTGAAGGGTCACACTGGATTTATGGCTACTGAAGCAATCAGACTCACCTTGGTTTTTAGCCCTGCATCATTAGGACACCCTGAATCTCTCTGCAGCCATCTCATAGGCTTAACATATTTCCCATAGTAGTGGCTCTTGTAAAGGTTACAGCAGAAACACTGCGGGTCTCTTTGCAAATCATAGATGATAGTCTCCATGGAGAAAGGGTCTGTGTTTCTTTTTCTCCCATTATAGCACCAAGATAAAGTCACTCACTGGCACCTTCCCTGAAGGCTTCACCAGATTTAAAAATCTGCTATCTTCTCAGAGCCATGATTCAAAGCCCTTACCATGGCCTAACAGGACTGTCATGAATTGAGACAGCTGTGGGAGGGTGGGGTTGGGTTCTAGAGTTAAAATGCCAGGATTCAGAACTCAGCTCTCCCAGCTCCAATACTTCCTGACTTGTGTAGCCTCAGGTTAGTTACTTACCCTCTCTGGGCCCCTAACTGCTCACAGATAAATCAAGGGTAATAACAGAACCTATAGCTCTTTAGTTATTGTGAGGATGAACAGAAGTTAACAAATGTAAGCATTTGAGAAATACCTGAGCCCTAAGTGGGTGTAATGATCACTTTTATCATTACAAATATTACAACTGCTACTGTGGCTAGTATTACAAATTTCCTTTCCATCCAAGGTTATCTTCTGATCATGTTGTGCTGCTGATTAATACCCTCAGTGACTGCTCGTTGTTCTTAGAGGAACCACCAAGCTCTTCAGAGCATCTCCAATGCCCTGCCCTCACCTCCCTCTCTACATAGACCTCTACCACTCTCCTACCCTCTGTGTTCCTGGGCTGCTTCCTGAATCCCCTACCAGATCTTGGTTCTTGCTGTTTCCACTACCTGCAGGCTTTCTCCTCCTCTTGTCCAAGTGAAATTCAGCTCATCCTTCAGCATCCACTCCACTCCCAAGAAAGCTTTCCTTGGCGTACACGCTGCTAACCCCACTGTCTCTCAGCAGATGTAGACTCCCATGGCGCCAGCCACCTTTTCAAAGCCCTTCACGCACTTGTTAATTACATTTATTTGGAGATTACTTAATTATAGTCTTATCTACCAGGACTAGATGATAGTCTCCATGGAGAAAGGGTCTGAGTTTATTTTTCTCCCATTATAGCACCAAGCCCATGTACCATGGTGGTTTAATAAGTATGGAATGAATGAATGAATGAATGAATGAATGAATGAAGTGTGTCCCTCCTGCTGTTCCACCCTCTATACTGTAGTGTCACTCACAACACCAAACACAGCACCTTTGAACTTCTGTGCCTTCCAGACACAGACCCCCTTCTTCTGGATGTAACCTATTTTTCCCTGATCGAGAACCTTCCATCCCAAGCATGTGTTTGGTACAGAATCATCCTGGGTGCTGGTCTGACTTCCCATGTGATACGGGGCTTAGTCAGCTTTGTGTGCAAAGCATGTTCTCCATCTATTAATCCAACATTATTAAACATAGATTAATCATCTGCATACATAATTAGCTAAAGTCCATTTGGGGCTGTTTTTCTTTACCATAAATATTGTTCATGAGATCATTCGTGAAGCTTGTGAGCTGGCTCTGGGGGAACAAGGTGGCTCCTGCATGGTCAAGGTAGACAGTTCCTGAAAAGAAAGAAAAAAAAATATTGCAGTTTGTTGCTCATAGACCTTCCAGTCATCGACATCTGGTTTGTGTGAGTCTGACCAGTGCCCTTTCAATGCATGTCAATGTTTTAACACCAGGACACTGATGTCCCTGCACCTCTTGATAAGAGCTTCTTAATCCAAGTGTAGGCATGAACAAGGGCAGAAAATGCCCTTCTAATGTTGAGTGACATTTAAGACCCTCAGAGAGCCTTCCTGACTAACCAGCTTTCTTATGAAGCTGGACCAGTGTCCCACAGAGTGGAAGTGCCCGAAGACACTGGGGATGAATACATCTGTGACTCAGGCGCTGTCCTGGAGGTTCCGTGCATTCCCCTAATGGGTGAGCCTGGGTTCACCCTCAAACCCAGAATAGCTATGAGAATTGCAGAGAATTTGAGAGAAAAAAACAAATCTTCTAGTCTCTCTCCTGAAGAAAGAAATTCAAATTTAATGAACATAAGATACCATGGTTTATCTACTAGCTTGGCAGAGATCAAAAGGTTGGATGTCTCACTATGGGGGCAAAGGCTAGGCAGCACCCTACTGGCTAGAAATTGGTACAACTCTTTTTTTTATAATTCTTATTAATGTGTTATATACACACTAGTGGGATTCATGATGCCATATTTGTACATAACATACAAATAACGTACATAACATATAACATACATAACAATTTGAGCAATTAAATTTTCCAGTGATTTCTCTTTCTCTTTTTTTAGTACAGCTTAATGGATCAGTCATTTGGCAGCATAAGTAGCACTTGAAAATGCAGATACTCTTTGACACAGCAATTCCTCCTCTAGGTATTTTACCTTATAAAGACCCAAGCTTTTGTGAAATGAACTGTATATGAGAGTATTCAGTGCAATATTTACTGTAATAGCAAAAGAATAAGGACAAACGTCTATCAACATGTACTTCAAAGAAAGAATTATTGAATACCCTACATGAGGCACTACGTTCGATCCTCAGCACCATGCAAAAACCAAGTAAATCAAAAAAATGTATTGTGTCCAACTACAACTAAAAAATAAATGTTTAAATAAATAAATTTTAGTATCCAATTGTCTCTTTTTGTTATTATTATTGCTTAAGTTTTTGTTGTCATAAGTCATTACCTAACCCAATTATTGAATACCCTAGTACATTATAAGCACTGTTATGGAACAAACTCTGAGATGCACTTTCCACAGCCTACAAAGTAAATAGATCCATTTGTTCCTTTGTTCACTTAACAATATTTTTTTTTATTCAGGTAGGGTGAATTTTTATTTTACAACAACTTTATTGATATATAATCCACAAGCTGTGAAATTAGTGGCTTTTGGTATATTAACACTGTTACGCAACTGTCACTACTAATTTTAGAACATTTTTATTCACCCCAAAAGAAGTCCCATAACCATTATCATTCATATACCAGTCCCCCCAGCCTCACCCCGGCAGTCACTAGTTGAATCTTCCGTTTCCAAAGATTTGCCTATTCTGAACATTTCACATAAATGGAACCATTCAATGTGAGGTCTTTTGTATCTGACCTCTTTTATTTGATGTCATGTTTTGCTTAAGTTTTTGTTGTCATAAGTCATTACCTAATCCAATGTCCTGAAGATCTATGTTTGTGCTTTCTTCTAACAATTTTATACTTTTTGCTCTTACAGTTAGGTCTTTATTGATTTTGAACTAATTTTTGAATAAAGTGTGAGGGAGAGGGCATGTGGATATCCAGTTGTCCCAACATCATTTGTTGAAGAGACCACATTCTTTCGCCCATTAAACAGTTTGAGCATCCCTGATGAAAACCAACTGGCCACAGATGCATGTGTTTCTAGACCTACAATTCTATTCTGTTCTGTTGGTCTATCCGTATGCCATCTATTCTGTTGGTCTCTGTGTCTATCCATATGCCAATACCTCACTGTCTTGATTACTATAACTTTGCAATAAGTTCTGAAACCAGGAAGTGTGGATCTTCTAACTTTGTTTTCAAGATTGTTTTGGCTCTACTGAGTCCTTCACATTTCTATATGAATCTTACGATCTGTTTATCAATTTCTGCAAAAACGCAGCTAGCTAGAATGATTCTGAAGTAGGTAGAGCAAATTTGGCCTACATACTGTGTTGGGTAAAGAAAGATTTTAATATTAACTCCTTTTCTTATTAACTGTGAAATTTGGCAAAATCTTTATTTTAAAAATAGAGTATTAATGTAAATCATAAGAATGTCATATTATGTTAGACAAAACATAAGAAGCACACTGTTTCATAAATACTTTTTTTTTCCCTCTTGCACTAACATTATTTTTCCATTTAAGTACTTAGATAAACACACTTAAATAAATTTATCAAAGCTACTCCAGTGGGGGCAAAGGGAAGGGAAGCTGGTATTCTTATAAGATTTGAATTGAATCTGTACATCAGTGTAGGGATTATTGCCATCTTAACAATATTAAGTCTTTCAATCCACAAATACAGGTTCTTTTTTCCATTTATTTAGGTCTTTAATTTCTTTCAATGATGTTTTGCAGTTTTCATTGTATGTCTTGCACTTATTTATTTACTTATTTTATTCGTGCTGGGGATTGACCCAGGGGTTACACTGATTGACCCACTAAGTTACATCCTCAGTCCTTTTTATTTTTTATTTTGAGACAGGATCTCACTAAGTTGCTGAGACTAGCCTTTAACTTGCAATCCTCCTGCCTTAGCCTCCTGAGTCACTGGGATTAAAGGTAGATAATATGGAACCTACCTATCTTCTATTTATTTTGATAATTTTTCCTGTATGTTTTATTCTTGTTGAATAAAGAATTATTTTCCTAGTTTCACTTTTATAATATCCATTGCTAGGGTATAGAAATTGGCTTAATCTTTGCACATTGATCTTGTATCCTGCAAGCTTGCTGAACTAGATTTTTAATTGTCTTATTTTGGTGTGTGCATTCCTTAGGATTTTCTACATCCAAGATTATGTTATCAGCAAATAGATACATTTTTTATTTCTTCTTTTCTAATCTGGATGCCTTGTATTTCACTTTCTTGCCTAATTGCCCCAACTAGAACCTTTAGTACAATGTTGAATAAAAGTGGTAAGAACAAACATCTTGTCTTGTTCCATATCTCAGGACGAAGGCTTTCAGTCTTTTTCCATTAAGTATGATGTTATCTGTGGAGGTTTTCATGATGACCTTTATCAAGTTCATTAAATTTTCTTTTATTTCTAGTCTATTGAGGGTGTTTCCATTCAACAAATATTTATTTAGCACTTACTTTATACCAGGCACTGTATAAGAGCTGAAGACACAACAATGAACAAAACAGAAGCTAGCCTGATAGTGGCAGAGAATTACCATAAACAAGTAAATGCAAACTATGGCAGGTAGTGAGAAATGTTATGGCTCACTTAAGAAACATTTTCTTTAAAGTGCACACACATACAAATATAGACAACCACCAGAAAGGCACACAAGACACAACTGACAGCAACTGACTCTGGGGTGGTTACAATGGCTGCAGCTAGAATGACGACGGGGAGGTTCTTTGGCCATTCTTCAATTTCATTTGGCACCTTTTGAATCTGATACCATTAAAATGTATTACATAGTCTAAATTGTTTAAATAAGGTTCTCTTTTATGAAAGCTTCAGAAACATAACTTTAAAATTAAAAGAAATGTTTTTGTTCACCCAGGCTTCAAGACCCAACAGTGCACACATGAAGCCCCAATACACAGTTGAGACCCAGGTGACTCCTGTGAAGCTCCATGACCCTTGATAAGAGTCTTCTGCAGGACCATTTTAAAAAAGCTTTCTCTGACCTTTGGTCCAACACTTAATTTGGGGTGGGGGGGAGCAACTGTGTTAGATCAGCCAAGGTCTGATTTGGGGAGGTAGAGCAGCAGAGTGGTTAACAGGGCAGAACCCAAGTGAACCAATCTGGATTAAATTTTGGCTCCATCACTAACCACTCTGGGATCCTGTTCCTACATCTGCAGATGGGACTAAATGAGTTGATATATGACAACACCCAGTCCAGTGCCTGGGACAGAGTAAACACTCCACAGTTTTAGCTGACATTAAAAGCAGGCAAATGACTCAAAGCCAAGAAAAAGAATTCCAGGTCTATTCCAAGCCATGCCTCTGCCATTCTCTGTTGTATTCAGTGAGTTGTTATCAATCAGCTCCCTAAGTCTTCATGAACTACTTGAACTAAATCTATGTATTCAATATGCTCCCTTCGCTAAGACAAGGAAATTCCCAAGCAACGGGTTGGGTAAAACATTTCAGCTGTAAAGGTTCAGCATTTAATTATACAGACCCACACTTAGACAGATAAATGTTCAAACCCACAGAAAATCTTCAAGGAGGGAGAGGAAAGGAGAGAAGGTGAAGGTTATGTTAGTTTGGTTTGTTTGGATGGTTAGATCTTTCCTACCCTCTCTCCAGTTAATTTATTTCCATAAGGGGGAAAAAAGGTGAACCAGTTCTGAGACTCCCAGACAACCAAAATGTAGGGGAAATACTGGGAATTGCAAACACTAGGTAAATAGAGAACACACACAACACTGTCACAAATACAATTGATGTTAAAAAGTCTCTGGGGGTGGGGGAGTGCTATTCTCTGAGGAACCAGAGTGAAACCAGGAGAAACTCAGAACATACCTCTACTTTTCAGGATAGTGTTGGGAGAGGTCAGCCAATTCAGGGATCCAAGTTTAGAGGAGATTTAAGAGATTAAGGAGGTGTAGTCCTGGAAGCATTATGGACTAAATGACACAGACTGGGATTTGCTTCAAAAGAATAGAGGGCCTCCCTCCCTCTGCACCTGTGGGTATTCTTAGCATAAGACTTTGTTTCTGTGTGGTAGGAAATTTTTGTAATAGAAGGAGAAAGAGGGAGGAGGAATATGTCCAGCAAGTGACAGTGTGACATGGAAGAATAGGAAGGGAGTTGAGAGGTTGGCAAAGAACACCCTGTCCCTCGTGGCTCTCTCTACTTAAGTATAGAGGGGACAACACAAGGAGGAGGCCAGGGTCCTCAAAGACTACCAAAAGGGGGGAAAAGTTATCATTATAAAACATAAGGAGGACTGGGACTCAGTACTCACTGTAGCTCAGTGGCAGAGCACTTGTTTTGCATGTGTGAGGCGCTGGGTTCGATCCTCAGCACCACATAAAAATAAATAAAATAAAGATATGCAGTCCATCTACAACTGCAAGAGAGAGAGAGAGAGAGAGAGAGAGAGAGAGAGAGAGAAAGAAAGAAAAGAAAACAACTCAAATCATTGCTATCCTGCCACAAACAGGAGCAGTCACCAGTTTATCACGATGAAACAAATAAACCAAGGTGCCCTGGCCCCTGACCTGTCCACTTCATCTGCCCCCTTCCACCCTTGGGCACAGGGTTCTGAGGCTTGACTAATCCCCTACACTTAAGGTTCCTGGCACAAGGGCGAGTTCGGAACCCACAGCAGTGGGGCTGGGGTCAGTCATCGCCAGCTCGATCTTGATTTCCAATTCAATCAGCAGGTTCCACAAAAGCACGCCACGATCCCGATCTTCGTGTCCAATTTACTGGCTTGTCCTGTTCTTGAAAATTCAAATTGCAGGGTTCGCTAATTCTTCTAATCCCCCAGAGAGCTAGAGCTAGGATGACCTGGGAGGCATTGCTCTAACTGCGGGAATGAGAAAAAATGAGGTTTGGGAAATAAAAGCTACTCGTGGCCCCTGCCAGCGCAGTCTGGGGCGCCGCTTTGGGAGACCCCTGCCCCACGACCTCAGCCTCTGGGTCCCCAGCTCGCGATCCCTCAGAGCCACTCTCCCAACTCCACTGGCTGGCCGCCCACGCACCGCTCCCGTCTCAGGGCGTGCATCAGAGAAGTCAAGGCCGCTGGACCTCTTGCATTTTGCAACACCCGTGGTGTAGTTGGACCTTTAGAATACGGGGGACGGGAGGGCAAGAAGAATTCTAAGCCCGTTTCGCCAGGGCTGGGGAAAGGTGGGAAGGATCTAGGTTGGTCCTGCCCCCCTGGAGCGATAGACGAGGGAGCCACTTCCCATGAAACCGACGCGTGGACACATCCTTCCTACTCTTTTCAATTCAAAACGCGCCCTGAATGACAGCGCCGCCACCACTTGGAGCTGGAGCGCCTTTCCTGTGGGTTACAGGAGCAGCGTGCCCCGCACGCCCGCCCGCCTCACCTGCCAGGCGGCCGAACTCGCTCTCCCGCATGTCCAGCAGGCTGCGCGGGCCGTACCCGTAAGCGAGGCGCGCCGCGCTCGAGTCGCGGAACCGCGTGAAAGCCAGCAGCTCGGCCCCGGATTCTGTCGCTTCGCTAGCCATGGCCCAAGCTATCAAAGCCGGCAGGGTCTGGGAGGTACATAAGACCGATCCACGGTGACTCCGCCCCGGCCGCGCCTCTGGGGCAGCGCCGGTCCGTGACCCGGGGGCGGCGCCTCGAGGGACTGTCCCGCTCTCTCCGGACGCGCTGACTCAGGGGTTTCACTTCGGTCTGCCTTTTTTACACCTGGAGCCGAGAGAGCGAGAGCCCGCTCTGCTGCCTCTTTGAACGAATTTCCAGTGTAGCCCGCGGAGCTGCCCAGAACCCTGGAATGCAAAATCCTTGTTTAGCTGTTTGTCATGGAAATGCAGGTGCACGAAGCAACCTAGGGTTTTCCCTGCTGGCCATCCTGAAAACCGTGATTGCATTCCGCACGGCGACCCCGGGGACCTTCACCCACCGTAGTGTGAGCCGGCCTCTGCGCAGCGGGCGTTTACGAAGAGATTTGGATTTCTCCAGTTGTTGCTCCCCGTGGGACGTGTGCTCCGCGTTTCTGAGAATGTGGCTAAGCAAAGGGTAGAATAGGAAAATCACTACGCAGTCCACAAGCCGGTTAATAATGCTCTCTGCGGCTGCGCACGGTTGGAACCGGGAAGCTTGGGTGCGACCCGGACGGGAGCGCCTCCTCTGCTCCGCCCTCGGGCCGCACCCGGAGAGCCGAGGCAGAGTGTCCCGGGGCATTAGTCTGTCAAGCAGGGAGGGGCCGGAAAACCAGGAGCGGGAAGTGTGAGGCTGGGGGTCTGAAGGTGTCAGAATCGTGGGCCAGGTGCGCCCCAGGAGTATGGGGTACTTGTGCGATCCCAAGTACGTGGTGGGCTACCCTAAGATCAGGAGACCAGGTGGAAGGAGACCAGGACTTCGAATCCAAGTGAGGCAAATGGTAAGGAAGTGTGAAGGTACTGTGCCTACAGTCATGCTGCAGACCTGCCACCATCTCCTCACTGGTCCACTGTCGGTCCTGTAGCCTAAGAGGAATCTGAGCTATTTCATGCTGAGGTCCCAGAAGGCCAGTTCTGCAGAAACAGTTCTTTCCACTCCTAGAGAGCTCTCTCACCAAGAACCTGAAAATTTTCTGCCTACCCATTTGGGCAGACAGGAGAGAAGGGCTCAATTAAGCACTCTCTCCCATTGCACGAGGTTTTGTCCCTGGTCTAGCTCCCACGGCCCCCTTCCCTGCCTCATGATGATGTCTCCCCAAATGCCCTTGATTTCAGGTTAACAGACGCTACTTACAGGGTCCCCTATCAATAGGATCCATTTGCAAGAATGTCCTCTATACATAAGACCTTCATTCACAATTTCTTTCATTCATTCACTTGGCCAAATATGGATGAGTGCTTCTCAGAATTAGGCTCTGTGGTGGTAGAGGAAGAAAGCTCATGCTGAGGAGCTAGAATTTCATTTTTAAGGCTTTGGAGCAAAAGTGCCCCTAGAAGTGATTTAAGTAGACCTGTCTAATGACCATGGCCAGACTAGATGAAGCTATGAAAACTGGGGACAGGGAAACCAGCTGTAACTTCTTGCAACTGTTCTGGCTCCAGTCCCTGAAGATGAAGCCTGAGGCTTTGGCAAGGGGCATTCATTCCTTTGGTGGTCTTGGACAGCTGCTTCCTACAAGGAACATGGTAGACATTGGAAAGACAATAGTCAGTAAGGCTGAGAGCAGAGGACTTCTCTGCTGAAAGCCAAGGCCAACTGGAAGAGAGTTTCCCTACTAGGAGAATGCAGAGATACCTTCCCAGAGGGTCCCAGAAGAGGAAGCAGGGGGAGGAAAGGCAATATTCCATGTGCAAGAGCCTAGAGATAGCAAATGGCTCAGCAGATTCCAGAAGCAGGACATTCAATGAGGCTGGGACATTCTGGAGCTCGGTGGGGATGAAGGGTGGGATGGAGAGCAAAAGAAATGAGTGGAGTCAGATTGCAATGTGGAGCAGGAACCTGGCCTTGGTCAGGTAGGGACAGGAAGATGTTAGGGAGTCTCACTGTAGTACAGTGACTGGATCTTTGGTGGCACTGAGGAGGGGTTGATTTCAGGGAGGCTGTAGACAGGACTGTCAGAGGTTGAGCAGTGAGTGCTGATCTGAGTGTTTCTCCTGGTGAGGAGCAGTGAGTGCTGATCTGAGTATTTCTCCTGGTAAAGAGCAGTGAGTGCTGATCTGAGGCCCGGATGGTATAGAAGTTTTGAATTCAGAAACAAAGGAAGCCTAAGTAGGACTGGGCTGGGAGTATGTGGTGCTGTGGCGTGGGGAGATCAAGTGAATGCAGGGAGGATGGGGCTCAGGCACAAGGAGACAATTTGGAGCTTCAATCAGGACCTATAAGTGGAAATTCAGGTGCAGAGCTCGAGATGGATGCAGTGTCTGGAGTCATATGGAGGACTTGTGAAGAGAGCACCCCAGAAGCTCAGGAAGCTGGTGGAGCTATGGGATCAGTGGCACTTAAGTGTTGCCTGCCTCATGCCATAGATGGTTGAGTCGAGGGAGAGAACCAGAGCCGAATGCCATGGACATCTCTGAGGCTGAGAGGCCGATTAGGAGAAGGATTAGAGGTTGTCTCACAAGTCAGCCCTGGAAGACCTTTGCCTCTCAGTCTTGGAGGAAGTTGGTGGCAAGGACAGAGATGGTAGTGTGGCTACAATTAGGATGGATCAAACCTTCTACCAATTTGTCAAGATGTGGGGGTGGGTATTTCCAAGAAGGCCAAGTATGGTTTGGATAATGAAATTAATTTAGTATTTCCTGTTAGAGTGAAATATACACCTCCCTAAGGAAGAGATCCTGCAGAGCTAGATATTAAGGTAGCTAGGAAACAAGAAGGCTGGCACAGCAGAGGGACAGGTTTCTGCTAAAGCCTGGCAGTGTGCCCTGATTGAAGCAACTTGAGAGCAGTGGAAAGAGGGACCAGAAACCCCAGGAAGCTCCCTCCCCTGGAGTGAAATGAGACCTTTGCTGTGAATAGAAGCTAAAAGGGCAGCTTGAAATCATGGCATGGTCGGGAACAAGGCTCCATTATATCTACACTCAAAATGTTCAAAACAACAAAACCCACCAGTACTAGGCAGACCACAGGACTGAGAGGGCAGGAACACCCAGAATATCTTCCTGAAGTTGCTTGGAGCTTGGCTTCTCCCTGTGTTCATTCAGGAGCAAGTCCATGGGCCAGGACCAGCCAACCCCTTCGTAGTCCACTCTGTGCTGATACCTTACCTACCTCCTACTCTTCGCCTCCTCTTTATGCCACCAAGACAAGGAAAGGATTGGATACCAGGTATTCTATTTATATTTGCAAATGCTTTCTCTCCCAACTAGTGGTCAAGTTAACTCAAGTTTACCATGGATTCAGCAAAGATGTGATAATCCACTGTGCTAGATGCTGTGGACAAAAAGAAAAACAATTAATGCCCCAATGTTTAGACTTTGGTAGGCTTCTATAATGAGCTTGCATTGGTTGCCCATCCAGTACCCACTGCCCCTGATTTTGCTTTAGAAAGCCACCCGAACACAGCAGCCATGTGGTCAGACTATGCCTCCAGCTCCAGGATAGGTCATCTCATGTTTCATTACATCCAACATGCAGGCCCCAGTCACTCAATGTGTGGCTTTCTCCTGCACTATCATTAGTATAGGGATAGTCCAGTCAGAGGAAAGTTAGGGACATGATGTTTAAAGGTTATATGCAAAAAAATATGTAATCTCAGGGACTGTTTGCATTCCTCTGAACTCTTAGGAGAAAGATGACCTGGAAAGGGCAGAGGTGAGAAAATTAAAGAAAGGGAAATAGGAACCTGATCAAACTATTCCTGAAACCTGTCCTATCACTGTACTCTTTTCAGTTATGTGAGCCAATAATCCCTTTTGCCTATTGGAGATGACTTTCTTAAAACAGAAAGCATCTTATTGAAATAGCTTTAGACATATACACAAATAGAATAAAGTGGCGGATACCAAAAGTATTATGTATTTGTATCAAATACTATGTAATTCAGAGAAAGGAAGGAATACTTGAAACAAAGAGATTAAGGAAGGCTTTTAGGGGCTGGAGTTGTAGATCAGTGGTAGAGCACTTGCTTAGTGAGGCACTGGTTTGACCCTTAGCACCACATAAAAATAAATAAAATAAAGGTATTGTGTCCATCTACAACTAAAAGTATTTGAAACAAAAAGAAAGAAAGAAGGAAGGAAATAAAGAAAGGAGGTGGCATGAACTGAGCTGTATTTAATCATAATAGCAATAGAAGCAAAGAATTATTATCTTATTATTTTTATGCATCACCCATTTAATCCTCAAAACAATCTACGAAGTGGTTACTTTTTATGAAATGAGATTATCATTTGTTCTCTTTCTCCCAGAATGAAACACCCTAATTTTCAATGAGCAGATGGCCATCTATAATACAGATTTAGTTTCTCATTTTTCTCTTAACACTAGGTATGGCCACAAAACTAAACTCTGGCCCAGGAGATCTGGGCAGAACTGTCAAGGACGTCCTTAAAGTTAGGGACAAGCTTTTCCTTATGTCTTCCTCCTTTCTACTATCTGGAGTGCAGAGATCATGGAAGGAGGACAAGCAGCCATGCTGGCAGGTAGAAGCCACAGATGGCAGAATAAAGTGAACCTAAGACCCAGATCATATTAAGAAGTTCCATGCCTATTTTGGTCCGCCCAAATGAACTTCTTTTATTTTAAAGAGAAATTTTCTAACTTGTACAAACTGAAAGACAGTTTTGCATTTTCTTTCACACACCATTGAATGTAAGCCAGACTGATACTTAGTATTTTTACTTATAGAGAAGAGAAGGGGAAGCTTGCCCACAGTGAGAGCCAGTGTGAACCTGGATCCAAATCCATTTATACCTGACTCATCAATTACTTTGCGACTCTTATCTGGAGGCTGGCTTTGAATTCATGATCCTCCTGCCTCAGCCTCCCAAGCTGCTAGGATTATAGGCATGCACCACCCCAACCAGCTTCATTCTTTCTTCAGTAAAAGTTTTATAGGGGGCTGAGGTTGTGGCTCAATGATAGAGCTCTTGCCTAGCACGTTCGAGGCCCTGGGTTCGATCCTTGGCACCACATAAAAATAAATAAATAAAATAAAGGTATTGTGTCCAACTGCAACTAAAAAATAAATATTAAAAAAGTTTTATAGGATTAGAAAAAGGGGAAAGAAGGGAAGGGACGGGGAATGTGACTAGGAAAGATAGTAGAATGAATCCTATGTGCACATATGATTATATGACCAGTGTAATTCTACATGATGTACAACCAGAAAATAAGAAGTTATACTCCATATATGTATGTCAAAATACATTCTACTATCATGTATAATTAGAACAAATAAAAAAGTTTTATAGGCAAATTTAAATTATATAAATGTTTTTAAAGGATAGTATAATGACCCTCCAAAGCACAGCTTCAAGATATCTCACTTTATTTTGCAGAGTGTTTCCCAGATATATTTTACTTTATGACACTTTAAAAAAATGCATAACAACATTCTGGGAAATGGTGTGCCTTGGATCACTTTTTTGAAAATTGTGGTAAAACAAACATAATATTTACCATCTTAAACATTAAGTTGGCAATTTGGAATGTTCTCATTGCTGTGCAATATCTGTAACTTTTTTGTGGGGGGAGAGGAATACCAGAGAGTGAACCAGGGACACTCAACCCCTGAACCACATCCCCAGCCCTATTTTGTATTTTATTTAGAGACAGGGTCTCACTGAGTTGGTTAGGCTGAAGCTGGCTTTGAACTCACAATCCTCCTGTCTCAGCCTTCTGAGCCACTGGGATTACAGGTCTGCCTGGCTTCTACAACTTTTTTTTTTTTTTGGTTTGCTTTAGTATATTGAACATCTTTCTAAAATAAACTATGAGAAAGCCATTCTAATTCAATGGAAGAGATGCTGAAGGATTCAAGATTAACATCCATTATTAGCAATGTTAAATTGAGGGAAAGATCAGTGAATTGTGCTCATAGAATTCTGCCCCCATGGGAGATGGAAGGGTTAAGCCAAAAGCCATCAATGGGAAAGATGAAGACGGGCTCTCAGAGCAGGGGTTTCTGGCTAAAAGCTGTTCCTTGCTCACTGTCAA